TGCTGATGCTGCTGCAAAAACTTTCCATGGATAGTAAGTGATTTATTGATAAGGATTCATTTTTTTAAAGGGTAGAAGTGCAGTGGCCATGCAGCTGCCATGGTGTTAAAAAAACACATGTTCTCAAAGTAAATAAATCAAGAACAATGTTCACATGCATTGAAATGATAAGGATTGACGCAATACAAGGATTGGTACATTTTAAAACAACCATGCCAGTGAGGTGGGAAAAACCAATTGGCTAGCCACATGAATCAATGTTACCCATGTGTCATGTCAACTGATATTTGTAAAACAATTTAAATAACAGCAGAATGAATGTAACTGGAGTTCTTTTGGCAAGTATGATGAAGCCAACTCTCTCTTTGTCCCTTCTCTCTCTCTCTCTCTCTCAGAGAGTTAAAGCTCTAATATACACTCTGTAGTTTTCAGAGATCCTGCAGTGGGTAGTCACAGGAAGAGCCAGTTCTGGGCATTTTAACAGCCATGGGTTGAGTTTGGTTTAGTTCAGTGTGGGAAATTAGAACTGACATTTGTGTGACTGCACCCTCAGGCAAAAATGTAGCAAGCATTCTGCTTGTAAAGCACACCCTTAAGCATCCTTCTGAGGAAATGTGCTTCTGAGAAAATACACTTGGACTGGAAAGCCCATGAGTTGGTAGGTGTTCTTCCAAAACCAGGATAACAAACATTGTGGGTTTCCACCTCTTCTTGGAAGTAAGGTGGTGGCATATGTATGTTCAGTAGTTTGATATCCAACATGTTAGAAGCTTGCTGTTTTCTGCCTTGGTTCACATTGCTGGCTAGATGGCCTGGTGTGATTAGCTTGTTGATGGATGAAGCACAATGTACCATTGCTGGCTAGATGGCCTGGTGTGATTAAGCTTGTTGATGGATGAAGCACAATGTAAGATTATTAGTAACATTACAGCTGACTATTTTCAGTCATATTATCTGTTTCCAAATAATAAATGGCGTATTTTAAATACTTGTTGAGGGACAGCCATAATGTCCATCAATGGCATAGTCTTTATCAACTCACTTCAGCAAGTGTACACTCTTAGCCAAAAGACTGAGAAAGAATGAAGTAACTTTAGTTAGTTGTTGTGGGATTTTTGGGCTGTTTAGCTGTGTTCTGGAGGTTTATTTTCCTAACATTTCACTAGTCTCTGTGGCTGGCATCTTCAGAGAACAGGAGCTAGAACTCTATCTGTGTTCTTGTGCAGTATGTGGGATTGTTGAGTATTTGTAGCTGTGGGATCAGGTTTTTGTTCTTTTCAGGAGATTGGGTGTTTCCTGTGATCAGTGTGTTTTTGTTATGGGTGTATTGTTGTGATAAGGGGGAGAGATGACCTGTCACTGTGATTGATGGGTGTCATTAGCTAGTCTTCTGTGTGCAGTGCTCATCTGATCCCACAGCTACAAATACTCAAAAATCCCACACACTACATCAGAACACAGAGTTCTAGCTCCTGTCCTCTGAAGATGCCGACCACAGAGACACAGGTTGTCTCATGCCACTAGCCATGCTGGCTACACCTGATTGGAATTAGAGTCCCAACAGCATTTGGTTGGGTATTAGGTTTGCAAGTGTTTAGCTGGGTAATGAGCTCATCAATCCTAAAGGAGGTAAGTGAAGTGGCTGATGATTAACCATTTCCAAAGCACTACCAGATCACATTGATCACAGGGTGGTATGTTCCAGAGAGGTATTTGATTAGTCTTCCCAGCAGCACCAATATTCCCTTAGTAGTTTCATTGTGGAAGAAATTATGCATATTGTTTTAGACTGTTGTAGGAAATGGACCCATTCCTGAAACCCCACAAAGGCAAAGAGGGCGTTTAGATTGAGGTTGTCATTGACCTACACTTGGAAATCCATGAGCAGGCGCTGTTCCCACCAGAAACTCCACTGGCTATAGATTTATACCCATAGAGCTTTCCCTTTGTATTCTGTGGGGCACTACACAAGATTTTCCTCCCTGCCCTCACATGAGAGCTCTTCTTCACTGGCTGAAGGGACTTCTGTTCCACCCTACCCTCCCTCAAACAGGCACATCTGTTTTGCTGTTGTTTTGGAGAAGTCAGAATCAGGGAGTTGTTGTCCACAACAATAACTATCCAAAATCAGATTAGAGTTGCTTCCTGTAGATGTTGCTTTGACATTGTGGAGGTGACAGATAAACTGAAGTGCTTATCTGACCCCTTCAGCAGCATGTGTGCTGTTCATGGCTTTTACAATTCCTTGAAAAACTATTACTTTTTTTATTTCTAAAACTCATTTTACGTTATACTTCCTCCAGAAGATTAAAGTGAGTATATATCTCTCTGTCCAAAAATTATATGAAGCCAACTCCATTAGGAAATCATAATACAGAACATTTTTGCAATATATTTTAGGGTACTACTAAAGCTCCAGTAATCCCAAAATGGTGTTATTTGGGAGGCATTTGATGAGATTTTTTTTCCTCATTCCAGAGGTGAAAGCTGAAATTACGGTGTTTAAAACAAGTTTTGTTTTTTTTAAAAAAAGGGCAAAAATACATTGCATTTTCATATACTTCAGTGTTTAAAATGCTTTACCCACAGATTCTTAATACAGTGCAGTAAATGAAATAATTACATGGGCTTAGCCGGTCAGCTCACAATGGATATCTTCTCATTTCCTCTGTTTTAGTATTTGTGGGTTAGATGTTCACTGATTCTAATCTGGAGGTTTCCTTTTAGTATCACACCTCCTTTTAAACTCATGGGCTTAGCATGGCCATAAAAGGAGGGAATAAAAAACAAGACAGGTTTGCCATACCTCAGATAATTCCTTAGAAGGGAGAGTTTCAGCAGGTGGAAGCAACACCTGCTGAAATTTCTTCCTCCACACAACAGTTAAAAGATAGAGGAACCAGGATAAGCCGAGAAACTATGAGGACTTTGGTTCATTAAGACAAAAACAGAGTGTGGGTACCTGCTGCCTGGTCACCCTGGTTTATAATGGAATGCATAAACAAACCATGTTTAGTCTGCAAGTTTATTTACTGTCATATCCAGCCCACCCCAACTAGTCAGAGGAATAAACCATAGAACACATCTTAGATGCTTGGCTTGGCTTGGCTTGTTAAGTTAAATAGTTACTAGTTTGCTTTTCTCCTTATATAAAAGGAAAAAAAAGTCCCAGGAGGTGGCAGTATACAATAACACATTACAATGGTACAATAACAGGACAGCCACAGAGATTGTCAAGTGGTGTTGTTTCTAGTAGAACTGTACTGGAGTCTATGCAAAATACTGTTGAAAAATGTGTGCAAAATTGTTTGAGATGCATCCTTCTTTGAATTATGGTTGGAGCCCTTTCCTATCAGATTTATGGCACATGGCTCTTTTGCTGCATGGGAAAGGGGGTGGGAAGGGAATGCTTAAAAGTTGTTCGTAGCAACTGTGGAGTTACTGCAGGGAGGCATGTACATGTTTTATATTCTAGAGGGGTAGCTGCACTGGTTGGTTGCTGCAGAACCTATAAGGAGCCTGGTGGCAGCACAAAGACCATCAGATTTGCTATGAAATATGGGTCTGCGGTGGATGGTTCACTCTTCATAAGCTACTGACTGCAAGCCTCCTTAGGGACAGTATGTACTTCTGCCTGCTCTCTGTGTGCAGACACCGTGTGCTTCTCTGTAGAATGCCTGTTGATGAGGCCTCAGCAATCCAGTCTCTTTTCCTTGTGACAACATCTCTAGGTGCAAATGGGAATGAGTGGCAATTCTTCACTTATGTAAAAAAGAACGAGGCAGGGAAGGTACATTTAAGAGACTCATTGGAAGAAAGAGGGTCAAAGCATGTTCTTTCTTTCTGGTAGTCCTAGTTCCTAAAAACAATTTGTGTTTTTAACTGGTGGACTTTTCTTACTCTACTCACAACCTTGCAAGTTAGATTGAAAAAGTAAAGTAATGAATGTCACTTACAATTCCACAGCCCCTGATTTAGCTAGTTGCCGTTGTAGTTAATTAAAAATAAATAAATCTTGATTTCCTGTTTCTCCAAAGCAGTTACATTTGCTTTTAGTTACTTTTCAAAAGTAACTAAAATTACTTTTGTGCTGGCAGAAATCGCCGTGCTACAATTATATTCTGTGCTGGCAGAAATCGCCGTGCTACAATTATACTACAAGCTATTTTTGTGAAACAAAACACATTCCTTTCCTGTCCACTTAATTGTTGGTTCATTACTCTGAACAAGCCATGAGGTAGAAGCAGAAGGTATAGCATGAATCCAGACATTTATAATGACAACAGTAACAGAAAGCTACAATTATACGATAAAAGGATGTGGCTTCTCACTGGGTTATAGCTGCAATGTAATGTCATTCTGGAGAAGAGAAATTAACTCTTAAGTAACTAGTTATGTACTACTAGTTATTCCTAGCTCTGATTTTACCTCAGCATGTCATTATTTTAGTTTATGCTTTTTGTCAGAGCATGGTGGTCGGTGGAACATCTGTAAGTGGAAGAACGTGTTCATTCACAGAAGAGAAAGCGATACAGTGGAGGTTCCTGCCATAGGAAGCGGTGGAGGAGGTGGCATTTTTATTGCTGTTTCCCCCTTCAACCCATATCACATCTTACATTAGACGATTCCTCAGTGCCACAGAGCCTGTTTTCATGGATAAAATGGGCTGCTGGGAAAATTCATATTTTTTAAAAAACAGAAGACTTTGGGTCTGATTTGCAGAAACATGGTGTGCTAAAATCTGTTTGAAATAGCTTTATTTACCTTTGGCAGTATAAAAGTAGTTGCTTCCCCAGCAATTTAATAGCCATGTTTGTGGAATATGAAAGCATTTCATGAAGGAAAATTCTTGGAGCAAAATAAGTGTAGTGATTGCTCTTAACTACTCTGTGATTATCAAATGCAAAATCATTCAGCAAGCACGAGTGCCCGAATACATTTTGCCAGGGTAGCAAAATCTCACCTCCAGTTGTGTACCTCTCATGTTTCTCCCAATATAGGAACAGGCGTCAGAGAAGATGTCTACCTGATTTGGAAGGAGCTAGAGGAAGCCAGGAACACATTGATACAAGTTCAGAGAATTCTGATAGAGTTTGAACAATCTGAATCTGTTCCAGGTATTTATAAACATGTATTTAATTACTCTGACATCATTCCAGTAGCTTGCTCATATTTTTGTAGAGTTTTTGGATGTTCTGTTTCATTGGAGACTCTTCTGAATAAGGATCACCATAAGGAGGAGTTTCCAGGAAGGCAATCCATTACTTGACACTGTCAATTATGAATTTCATTTTCAGTTATCCATGTAGCACCATTTGATCCAGAAGATTTGGGTTCAAGTACAAGGTCAATCCTTCCTGGCAGTGACAAATAAGCATGGTATTTTTGGACTACAGATCGCACAGTTCTCCTTTCTGGAAGTTCCACCTGAGAGACCCACACATTTACAGATGTCTGAATATAACTCACCTGGAGAAAAAGCCCAGCTGGGAAAGCTCTGAGGCCTAGCTTTTCCCTAGTTTCCTATGCAGAAAGGAAGCTCCCCGATAACAGTGGGGCTTCCTTTCTGCATAAGATGTTAGGGCAGAGCTAGGCCTATGCCAGGCTACAAAGCCTTCCCAGCTAGGCCTTTTTTCCAGGTGAGTCACACTTAGGTGTCTGTAGGTGTAGATCTGTCAGGTAGAATTCCCAGAGTGGAGAATTATGGAATTTGTAGTCCAAAAATTCCATAGCCAGTGACAAATTTAAAGTTAATATGTTATAGCAGACTCATTTTCTGTTGGCAAAGCACTATATCACCAATTACCAGAATGTCTAAAGGCAATGTACCCTGAAAAAAGAGATTCTGGTAGCAGGACATTACATTTTTCCAAGATGGAGTTCTTCAAAGAGCTCTAGACAGTGCTGGGCTTCCCTTAGATATTTTGATTCATAGGTCTGAGGTGCTCATAAATCCACCAGCATTCCTTGAGGTCCAGTTGTCTGTAGTCCTTGGTGATTATTTGCCACTCAACAGTGCCTTCCTAATCAGTGATGTACTGTCTTAGAAGGTTAGAAATAGAATGAAGCCTTGTGTGCTGGCAGAAATCACCTTGCAGTAGCAGAACACCTTTCAGCTAGCTGAGGGATCTGCAGTCATAATTGTTCTACTGGCTAAGGTCTGCCAGCAGAAGAGGAAGGAGCAAGGAAAAGCAAGCTTATGCTAGATCCAAAACTTCTCCGTACAGTCTTATGGTTACTATGTGAGCACAAAGTTAGGGTGTGATGATGGTGGTCCTACCGCGTTTCCCCAAAAATAAGACAGGGTCTTATATTAAATTTTCTGTTGGCCCTCATCCACTCCAGTACCATAGCCTGGTAGCGCTCAAGGGATGGAACGGCATCCGTTAAGGAGAGACAGAGTTGTGTGTCATCAACATATTGGTGACACGCCACTCTGAATCTCCAGATGACTTCCCCTGGTGGCCTCATATAGATATTAAACAACGAGGAGATGATTGATTGCTGAGGGACTCTGCAATCGAGAGTCCAAGGGATGGAGACCATTTCCCAAAGATGCACTCTCTGGGGAGGGGGTGGCCCTCCAGGAAGGATTGGAGCCAGGACAAGACAAGCCACCTATCCCTAGTCCAGAGAGCTTCCCCAGGAGGATACCATGGTCGATAGTATTGAAGGCAGCTGAGAAGTCAAGGAAGACACCCAGGGACATTTTACCTGTTGGCCTTCTTCTGAAGGTCATCATGCAGGGTGACCAATGCCGTCTCCATGCCATGGCATGGCCTAAACCCAGACTGGAATGGATTGAGGGCATTTTAACATGTTTCCCTGAAAATAAGACAGGGTCTTATATTAATTTTTGCTCCAAAAAACCCACAAGGGCTTATTTTCAGGAGATGTTTTACTTTTTCCATGTACAACAATCTACATTTATTCAAATACATGTCATATCATCTTCTGGTGGCTGCACAATGGCGGAGGGTGGGGTTTCCCTTAACTAGGGCTTATTTTTGGGTAGGGCTTATATTACAAGCATCCTGAAAAATCATACTTGTTTACATTTTTGCATCAGCCACCAAAACCAACTATTCAGGATGTGTGCCAAATACGAAGGATTATGTGAATTCCAAGGAATGGCTGCAGAAGAACGGATTAAAAGCACAGAAGCTGACCATCTCCAAAGCATTTGGTGATTGCTCGTTTCGTCACGCAGATGGGATTGTGGACATAAAAACCAAGCCACAGGATGAATCTTTCCAAACTGATGCTGTAGGTAACTCGCACATTGTATTGTCTGTGTATTTTCTTTTATCCACAGTTTTATCCCAGAGGATTTAGACAGGTGCTGATTATCCACTAAATTACACATCAGTTTGGTGTGTGTGCGAATGAGTGAATGTTGTAGTGCGATTGGCCTCTGACCTCTTGCTAGATTTGTTTGTTTTGTTTTGTTTATTATAATGGGCAAAGTATTCTATAGCACTCATCTGAGCTTAGGCAAGGTAATACAACCCAACCCCCAAACCCAAAAGCTTTCTGAGCGAATCAGGAAATACTGTTTGAATATCTCTGAGGAAATATCATCTCCCCAAAAGAAGCCATTGAATTGTATCCAGACACAAGTTAGTTGAACTGAATTCATATTTAAATCAATGGCATTTAAGTCATGATTCACTTGTCCTATCGATTTCAGCTGGTTCCACTTAGTCTGGACCCAGCCCATTTTGTTGGCATCCCTTGGGGGATCGGTATGGACTTAATAGATCTTCCTTCAGGTTGAGGGTTTCTTGTCATTGTGTTATGCATTCGAGGATGCATCCTCTTTTGGTCTGGTTTTGTTGAATATAGGCAACTCCGTCTTGGATTTGCCCTGCCTCCTTTAGATCTTATGCTCAAAAGGTATCAAATTTATAAGAATAAAAGGTTAATTACACTCTTCAGGAAGAGTCTTTTGGGTCAGAATGTGAGACTGAATGCAAGGAGTAAATAGCTCATTCCAGTTTCCAGTAGGAGGAATACAAAGAACATGGTTCATTCAGTGACCTATGTGGTGACTCACTTCTCTTCAGCAATGCCTCTTGTTGTTTTTCCATATTGATTTTATGAAATTGATTTTATGAAATAGGTGATATATCCTTCAGATTTAGGATGATTGGGAAGCAGTGGCCCAAACAGGATGGCAGGCCAAAAGCATTGTGAAGACTTTCCCTGGAGGCATAAGATCAGAGCTTGGAAATGTTACTGGCCATGCTGCCTGAGAGGTTCTGGGATGTCTGAGCTCAAAAACTATTTTCTCCAAGATCAGAATAAGAAGTTTCATAGGTTCTCACCCTACTAGGTCCAACTGGGAAAGCTTGGGTGTTGAACGGAACACAAGTCCCTTTGTTGTGTGTGTTCGTTTCTAACCATGAGAGACCCTAGAAGAGTATGAAAATGTCATTGTTCTCCAGACCGCTAATAGACTGGATAAACAGAATGTCCAAACATTATTTCTACACTGGTTCCTCCATATAAATTCAGTTTAATGTGTGAATTCTTCATGACAATCTTTTGATCTTTTAGGAATCCAACAAGAAGATAATCCATGCTAAATACTGTGACAAATTTTTACATACAGTTTTGGAAGATGGGTCTATAATCCATATATATTTGGAAGATGGTAGATGCAAACAGTATGAAGGGCGAATGAAGAGTGCTCTTGACCAAATGGAAAGAAGGTTAACTTTCTTGATAATGAAATATTTTTTTGAAATCCAGTCCCTTGTAATCAGAAAAAAATATCCTGTGTATTAATGTGTAACAGGCATTGCTTAGGGGTTCAAATATTGTCCAAAATCTTGTTGCATCGTTATCCTGGTGGAAATGGTGTAACTTGTAGAGGCAAATTGCAGGGGGCCACTGCTGGCATCCAGAGCTGCCCATCTGCCCTCACCCCACAGTCCTTTGGGAGACCAAGAAGGATGACCACTCCCAGGCACCTGGAAGGCATTGGGGAGGGAAGACAGGGGTTTGCTGAGGAGCTTGGTAATGGGATATTCCCTGGGGAAGATGAAGGAGAAGCTGCCAGAGGGGATAAAGGAGGAAGGAGGGAAGGAGAAAAGGGAAGAGAAAGAAGAAAATTTGACATCCTCTGGAGTGCTCAGGACCTGTGAGTAAACATCATCAGTGACTTGGAGGGAAGCAGTGAAAGATTTTATGCCTCTGTCTTGAGAGGTGAAGTTCAGCTGGAAGGAAGACCTTTGGCAAGAAGCCCAAAAGGGAGTCCCAGTAATTAAGGAAAGGGACCATGGAAGAGGGCCCCATCTTTGTCCTGCTGGGGAGAGACTAGTGGTGCCCATGTTGACCAATTGAGGCAGTCGTGGTGCCGATGGTACACATGCCAGGGTGAGAGGCAGCAAAGGCTCTGGGAAGAGCAAAGGAGCTCACCTAGATTTCTCTCACCCAGCTATATAGGCCATCCCTAAAGGGTCTGTGACCAGCCCCTGGACGGATGGATACTCCCAACCTGTTTCTCCATGCTGGGACTGCAGAGGTCCCCAGAGAGTTTAATTGGGGTCCAGACTGAAAAGACAGTACCTGTGCGGCTAGCGCAGAGTCTGTGGGTGATGGCAGTGTTGGTTAAAGCAATACAACCTGTTTCTAGTTATACTGGCAGTCTGGAGTCAAAGGAATTCCTGGGGACACTGCAGCGGCTATTATGGGGGGGGGCAGCACTCAGATTAATGAGCACTGGCTTAGATTTCTCTTTGTGCGCCAGTCAGATGGTATGGTGTGTGACCAGGAATCTGCCTGAAGACTCATTCCTTAGTAGCAGTTTGCCACTTAAAGTTATGCCCTTATCCTTTTGCCATTGGATTGTAGCCATTGTCGTACACAAATCGTTTGATTAGTACCAGAGAAAATGTTATAGAAATAATGGTAAATGCAGCATTAAACTGGGTGTTCTAGTTGAGATGTTGACCAGCTATACTTAGTCCTTCATAAAGAGCATAAAATTTCATTTAAATTCACGTGAAGTTCATATAAGTGATCTTTAAATATGTGCCTTAAAATTATCACTGAACCCACTGTGCATTCATAACTGGATCCAAGTGTATATAGATCCCACCTTCCATTTGAGCTGCTCCAGACTGTCTTGGATCTTTAACAGACTGTGCCTGCAAGCTGGCCAAGATGTTGGTGTTAACAACCTGTGTGTTGTGACAAGTCTCATTTTAATACAATTGGCATGGTCCAGGGCTGCAGGAATGATGCACGCCAGAGGAACTGTGCAGGGAGAAAATCCCCTCAGCTGCTGCCCATGGGCTCTAAAACCTGCCCATTTTGGGAGGTGCAGAGGGTTCCCCAAACCTATGTCATTCATATGATATATGATATATTTTTTGACATAAATAAGGCTGAGAAATTGTAACCAGCTCACACTGAATCAGTGAGTTTAATGCCTGCGTGAAAATTTAGCGTGTCTTGTGTGTCCCCGGTCCAAGTCCAGTACTCAAATCAATGTGCCACATTGATTCTACTATTACAATGGGAGGAAGGCAACAGACACCCTACAATTCTGATATGGGACAGAGGTCATAAGCCCCATCATGTTGGAGTTTTTACTTCCAGTACTCCCAAACAACAACCTTTTGTATTTAAAGGTGGTTTTTCATAGTAGCCCGTTGTTCTCAAACTGTGACTTAACTATTGCCTACTTGCTTGCTGTAGTAGACAAGTGAAGTTCTTTCTACAAGCCCAGGGGAGTGAAGAAACAGCCGAGTGAGCATTTCACACAGTTCTTTTTGTGCCTTTCATTTCATGTTAGAAGTGTTTTTGTGTAGACTTCAGGAACTGAAGAAAGGCAGCCGAGCGCTCTTTGGGGAAATCACAGAAGACTGTATCTATATTCTCATTGATACCTCTCAGTCTATGAAAGACAAACTGCCTGTGGTAAAACAGAAAATACTTCAGCTCTTGCGAGTGAGTGATATTTATGATTCCTGACAGAAACAGTTGTGACCCAAGAGAAACACACAGACTGATATTATGTGTTTTCCCTGCTCAAAACAGAGCGTATGGCCTCAAACCAAGGCCAAGCTAGGGTTCTTATACCTGGGCACTGCCCACAGTGATTGGCAGCAGGTTTCAAGAGTTTAAGAGTGGTGTTTCACCTCAGCTGGGAGTGCCAGGGGTGCAAAGCGTGTGCTCTACTGATCCCTTGCTACCATTGAGCCACACCCCGCCCCCGCCCCAAATACAGATGCTTTCTCCAAGTTTTGGGGTGGTGGCTGTATTATGAAGTGGATAATATATCTAGTAATTTATACAGGGGCATGAGGCAGAACGATGGTCTCCACAATTAAACACTTCAAACACTTCAGCCTCCTTATTATGACCGTAGCTTAGCTGTGCAGTCCCCACAATCTGGTTCTTCCTGTGACCTCTGGAACCAGGGGTGGGGAAATTTTCCACACACCACATTTAATATATATATTTGTTTGGCTTTCACAGTCCCTTTTGTGCCCTCTAGATGGGTATGGGAGGCATGTTTACCGTAGCTGGCCCCTAACACCTCTGTCTCACAAATACTGTGAATTTTTAAAAATTGGGCATCAGGGGGCTCTTTTAAAAACACTTTTCAAAATAAAAATATCTCAGGGTGGGCAGGATGTGGAAGTAAGAATGGCCCTCCAAAGTGTAAGGAGAGACGTGTGTGACCCTTGGATCTCTGGAAATTTCTGATGGAGAAACTTTGGCCCTCCAGATTTTTTCGTCTACCATCTCCACCAGCTGACAGTGAGTTTAGGTGGGAGTTGTGGTGCCAAAAATCCAGAGGCCAAAGATTCTCCACTGGTATTTTAGAAGAAATGGAATGTATTCCTGTAGTGACTGCTTTTGAAAGAGAGATATACAGTGGTGCCTCGCATTGCGACGTTAATTCGTTCCAGCGAAATCGCTGCTAAACGAAAACGTCGCAATGCGAAAATAAAAAGCCCATAGAAACGCATTAAAACGCGATTAATGCATTCCTATGGGCTTGAAACTCACCGTTCAGCAAAGATCCTCCATAGCGCAGCCATTTTCGCTGCCTGTTAAGCCAGGAATCCGTCCCAGAAAACAGCAGGTGGCCATTTTGAAACCGCCGATCAGCTGTTAAAAAAGCATTGCTTCGCGATGATCGGTTCCCCAAGCAGGGAACTGATCATGGCAAAGCACCGCCAGCCAGCCAGCCAGCCCCGGACGACGCCTGGCCTCCTTGGCGGGGGTGTCCCGGGGCGCAGACGGGAGGGCCGGAGGGTCTTTCTCCGGCGAGCGAGGGCTTGCAGGCAGCTGCCCGGGGAGGGAAGAGGCACGCCACCCACCCACCGACCGCCAGCCAGCCAGCCTGGGAGA